AGACAGACAGATATAGATAGATAGACAGACAGAGAGATACAGACAGAGACAGACAGACAGACAGACAGACAGACAGATAGATAGATAGATAGATAGATAGATAGATAGAATTTAAAATAAGGTCCCATTAGTTAAAGGTGCTGTATGTAGGATTGACACCGAGTGGTTGAACTAGGTATTGCAGTCCAAATTCAAAATATTGGAGAGGGTTTTTTTCACCCGGCCCCTCCTCCTCAGACTTGACGCACACGCAGGTTGCCAGATTGACGACACCAACAGGAACGAGCGCACTTGATGATGAATGAAATTAAATTCGCTGTGTTTTCCGACAACTGGCAACCCGGGGTCCCGAAATACAATTGGGTAAACTGGCAGTGGGTTTCACAAACCAAAACAGAGACTGACATTCCGGCCCCGAACGCACATTTTCAAAGGAGAATAACTAGCATTGTTTTTCAGATAAACAAGTATGTTAACTTAGCATGTTTCTTAAATATCTGCAAACATATTATGGTATTTTTATGCTTTAGTAGAGTCAAAAACTTACAACATACAGCACCTTTAACGCTAGTTAGTCCATTATCTAAAATGTAAATGTTAATTGTTAGTTCTTATCTCAGGTCAATTAAATATTAAAGATATAACTTTAATAATGTATTAGTAAATATTGAAATTAACATTTACTAAGATTAATAAATGTTTTATAAGTATTTTTCAATGTTATCAAAAGTAGTGAACTAACTTTAACAAATTGAACCTTAATGTAAAGTGTTATCTATTTCTCTGTCATGAAATGTTGAATTGCTCAGAATTGTTTATAGAACCACAGTTCAGCTCCCCCAAAAAAGACCAATTATTTCACTAAGTTGCTTGTCTGCCTCTCTTGCAGAGCACATTTGATCGGCACCCTTCCTCATGTGAAGATGATTGATTTCAGCGCTGTCACCAAACAGGAACGGGAGTTGAATTCAGTTTGGCAGAGGAGCAGAAACCCACATAAATCCATGAGTCACAGCAAAGTGGACTGAACCTTCTCCACCCGACATCCTGATACGTCGAAGAAACATAAATGTGGAGTTACAGCTACGTGAGGTGACTTTAAATGATAAACTAGGTTCCTCAAAAACTGTAAGAAAGTTATAGACCTGGAGTTACTTTAGTCAGCCAGAGTGTTTCTTCATCAGTTGATGATGAAGCCGCATGAGTAAGTGATGAAACATCTTAAGCAACAGAGAAACGTCCATTTGACTAGAAAATCAAAGTTTCTTTGAGAATTGCAGTAAGCAATTCAAGAATGGATGAACAAAGCATTCTCATTGTACACCAATGTATGTCTGCTACACATGGACTAAGACAAAATTTAAAAAAAGCAACACTTTATAGTTTTGAAAGTCTTTAATGCATAATTCCATTCAACAAAAACAGTTTTAGAAGAATATTGTGATTAATTTTTTGGTACTAGCCTAAGAAATGTTTTCTCTGTAAATCAGGTAGTATTCCACATTTAGGTAACAAACAAACTTGAACACTATTAGTACACTGCAACAGAAAACAAAATATTTGCAGCGCATTTTATCCCTTTAAAAACCTCAAAGAAAGACTAAAGTGCCTTGCCATGATCTAGAGAGCTAATTGTCCCACACTGGTCTGTGAGCTTGCATAAATACATAAAATCAAAATAAATAATTACACAAACATACTGTGTGGCATTTCAGGAAAGAACGCTAGTTGTTTTAATTCACTAGTTCTTTCCTTGTTTTTCGGCACAACAGCAAAAAGTTAGATGGACTAAGTTAAAGCAATGTAATAATATTTTTTTTTTTATTATTATGTTAAAAGTGGAACAGGCAAGGTAAAAGCATCCCCGTTTGCTTAGCTAAAAACAAGCTATCGATCGCAAAGCCTTACGACTAAGGCATAATGCAGCCAGGGGGCGCCGTAGAGCCGTTTACCCTTCGTATTAATCATTCATCTCGAATCATTTTACACTCTGTACATTAAAGGCATTGACACAAAAACATCATTTACAAACTACGAATTCCACTTCAAACCCGCCTCCCCATCCAAAACATTCAGAGTTGACAGCATGATTATTTGATAGACAGGCCACGCTGTTCTGGCTCGGTTTAACCGGGGTTCGGCTTTTCCGTTACGACTGCATGACCATTTGAGGGATATAGGAAAGGTGCACGGTAAGAGAAACACTTTCTCTTCCGTTAAAAGCAATAGCAAAGCCGCTTCAGAGGATTCAAAATATCGAATGAAATTTCTGATGTGACACGGTGCATCCCATGATATTTACCATCCGCCATAAAAACTTTGCTATTGTAAAGACTGTAAAGTAAGTCTGTCCATCACAGCTTTGTTTTCATCTGCGTAAAAATTCAATATGGCATCCAACCTGATTACGATCTATTGGCAAATAGAGGTGAACGATTAGGAAAAACCACAAATTAATGTCTAAAGTTGCAGAACATCCCATGCTTTCAGCTCTTGGGTAGTTAACGTTGATAGACTAAAATCTAAACCAGTTGAAAATCAATTTAAAAGAATTTCAAGCAGATCAGCCACAGAAAGCAAATTAGTTAAATAAAGAATTCAAAATAATAAAAAGATGGTTAATGCAACATTACATGCATGTTACTCTGGTTAGACAGAAGTATTATTTATGTTGCCCATATTAATCCACATCCCAATCTGGAACCTCGGTGCATACAATTATGAGAATGCATTAGAAATAATGAACTCTAAACCACAGTGATTCAAGAATACTACAGGGGAATTAATTACATTACTGAACTGAACCATAACCTGTGTGTTAATATGACCCAGGCAAACTGAGTAAATATACGATTAACTTTAGTACAAGTATAAGAATAATTGAGAAGTCTGGATGTGCTACTTGGTTTAACAATCTCCAACTAATCAGGAAACTGAAAAGCCAACAGAAGAAGAATCAACAAGAACGAATAAAACTAAACAAAAGCTCACCAAAGCAATCGTAGCAGCTTGACGCCGTTGAGTTTAGCATTTCTGATGTATTTGGTGAAAAAGGGTTTGATTAATGCATGAAAAAGTACCAGTAACTAATCAAATGCAACTCGTCAAAGCAAAGATAGTAGATCAGATGTTTTTACCCTCTCGGATCTGTGCCGTGGCGGGTGACGGATTTACACAAGGAAAATGGTTACTCTGGTTGGGGTGAATTATATTTATCTGCAGGGCATTCAGAGAACAAAGACATGGGCGTCTGCATCTCAAGAAGTTTGGAAGGAGAAGGGAGGAGTGAAAGGGCTAGAAAGAGAGACAGAAACAGAGGAACTGGGGAGGAAGGAGGTCCATCTTTTGAATCATGGTATAGCAAACTGTACCACCAGCTCTTCCTTGGCATCTACTTTGATTTGTGAGATGGCGCTGTAGGCATACGCAGCAATCTTAGAAACCTGTGGAGGAAAGAAAAGCAATAAATTAAAACTCCAAATAATATGCATAATGTCTAGTGATAGACCAATACATCGACTGATATTCATCACATTGCCAAAAGCCTGATCAATGGAAAATGCACAATTTATGTTGTCATTTTTTTTTACTTATGTACACTACTGCTCAAAAGTTTGCAGACACTAAAAGTTTTTGAAAAGAAATTAATACTCTTATTCAGCAAGGATGCATTTTAATGATCAAAAGTGACAGTAAAGATAGAAATCTTGTGTAACATTATAAATATTTCAAATAAATGCTGTTCTTTTGAACTTTCTATTCATCATCATCAAAAAAAATTATAAAAACATTTTACAGTTTCCACAAAAATATTAAACAGCAGCACAACTTCTTAATATATAAAACATTAATATAGAACACTGAAATAGAAAACTGTTACATTAAATTCTAATTTCACAATATTACTGTTTATACTGTACTAAATGCATCCTTTGTGAACATCATCATCTTTCCAAAATATAATTGTAAAAAAAATCCTATTGAACCTCAAACTTCATAACAGTAGCGTATATATAGATTTATGCGTGTATCTTTAAATAAAAAAAGTATAAAAACAGCTGTTTATAGCATATATGCATACATTTTAACTGCTACAATTAAACTGCATTAGCTTATTTATATATTGGAAAATATATATTGCATATTGACTGAATTGATCTCTAGTTTTCACTGTCTGTGATCAATCACTAATAATTTCCACACCAGGCCTTGGCATGCCAAACGCAGTCTAATATACATTGAGAGGGTTATTTAATAACAGAGTCTGACCTGCTGTACATCTGCGTAGGGGACCAGGTCAGCGGCGAGCACCTGGTGAGGTTGGCTGGTCAGTGATGGAAGAGGAACGGGCTTCTTCTGAGACAGCGTTCTGCTCAACACCTCCAGCTTGGTGCTTTAACACAAACACACACGGTTCAGCTTAAACATAACCTATGTGCAAATCTTCACCAGCTCAAAAAAATGGACACATGTAGGCCTGTCGCAATAATCAATATATCGACTTATCGTGCAATATATGTACATGACCTCAATCATTTTTGGTGACGCAATATATCGGCCATTATATTTACTTAAAAATTAATGTCACCGTGTTTTTTACATTCCACTTGCACCGGTGTCTTTTGCAGCTTCTCGTACATAACGTGGTGTAGTTGGTGCTAGTTCAAATTTTAAAAATGCTTCTACAAACAAAGTTTCATCTGCAGATATGGTCTTGTTTAGGGATCTGTGCCTTTGTGCATAACGACATCTGACTGCTAAGTAGTGATTGTGTTTTTCAGCAATAGTGTGCACACTTAATTTACAGAGAAAAGAAGGTCAGGGGAAAATCTGTAGATGGAAAAATCTCCATACAAGTTCTTTGTGCATTTTTCTTTTTTTCTACTTGTTACTTTGCACTTTTTGTTAGAAAATGTTCATATACTATTTATTCTAAGGTATCTAATATTTTGATACTTAATTTCCATGATCTACATATTTTAAAAAATTAAAAGTTTGTTGTCATTTGGAAGTGTGCAGGCCATCTTGCATTATTATTCTGTTACATTATGATTATATATTCAGTGGCATAAAATGGTCTTTAAAATGACAATAATATCGCTTATCGCAATTATATCTGGGGCAATATATCGCACAACAAAAAGTTGTTATCGTGACAGGCCTAGACACATCACACTTCTAGTGATGCATGGTTATGACGTCACACCCGTGGTCACAATAACATACATCCAGCCATGTCTACTGTTCATATCAATGGCATTTCAGCAGTGTAACACACCTGTACTGTCTGGCTCTGTCCATGTATTCATGTTGCTCCATGCCTTGAGAATCAACAGCCGACACGTCAATTATATTCCTAATCAACAAGAAAAGAAAAGCGAGTTTTAATCTACCAACAGCCCAGACTGTGTAATAAATGACAGGGCTGCGGCAGTGAAAGGGAACGTGTGTGTCGTACAGAGCTGTACGCTGCAGGATGGTCGTGAGCAGGGCCTGTTCATCTGTGCGGTTGGACGGCAGGCTGTCTGCATTTCGCTCCGAGCCACTGGTGGGTTTTCTGTCTAAGTTTGGGTCAGGAATCAATGGCTTCACCTCTTCATTCTGCACAAAAGAGCCAAAAAGAGGCTGGTCAAAAACATGATCATCGGACCTTCTGAAAAACCAGCGGTTCACTCTTTTGAGCAGGCAATGGTGGCCTAAAACAATGACTAAGGAGCTATTTGTCTATGCCACATGCCCTAAGTGAAAATAAAGTTGTGTTAGTCTGCAAATTATAACATTTTAAAGGAACATGTTTCCAAGGTGAACTGAACCCATCATAAATATACTGCAAGTCGCTCTGGTTAACAACATCTGCTAAATGTCTTCTTACATCGTACGTCCAAACATCAACTTCTTATTGAATTACATCATACAACCAAACTTGAACCTGCTCAAAGAACATATTTCCATTTTTTTTTTTTAACTATTAGTGATTAATGTATAAGGATTTTAGTTAGAGATATATATTTGATTAAACTAATTAATTAAAATCAAGTCTATGAAATACAGCACAAGTAGAAAAAAAATAAATTGTGGTCTGAGATCAATAACAATAATAATAAAAGTTTTAGACTGCTTATATAAAATAGATTATAAAATATAATATAGTAAGGATAACAATGTGAGAATATTTAGAAATTTTAATTTCGAATTTCTTTGCATTTTTTTTTTTTTTTTTTTTAAACCGACAAAAATAACCCTTTAAAGCTTCTGTAGCAATCTTTGCATTTGTACTTATTATGGGGAAATTAATTAAATTAAATTAATTAATTTAATTTAATTAATTTGCCATCTTGTGTTGGTGAGACTTGACTTGACTAATTGCGGCAACGCGAGCGAGCGATGCGTCAAAGTTGAGGTTATGCAAAAGAGCGACTTTCGGGAGCGACAACCAATAGGAGTGAAGTCAAGTCACTTTAGGCAGGCGCTTATACAGTACTGATTGTGTCAAAGCAGCCTTACAGTGTCAAACAGGAAAATAGCTTGTCAAGAGTAGCTACATGACTAAAATTTTTCCAGCTAAAATCAGTTCATTGATGATTCAGTTGTCATCATCCAGTTCAGCTCTCTTCAGTCAGTCAAGTGTGTCCCCCTTATGAAAATTAACCATGGTTTTACTACAAATAAAACAAACCAAAAAAACCCATGGTAAATTAATCATGGTATTGCTACACTAACAGTTTAACCATGGCATTTGTAGTAAAACTGTGGTTATACAAATGGTAATCAATAAGCCAAAAAAAACATGGTTACTACACTTTTACTATAATAAATCCATAGTTAATTTTCGTAAGGGCCAAGTCAGTGGAGTACATGTAACTACATTCTGTAGTGGTGTGTTGTTGAGGCATGTCCTATCATTTATGACAAGAGTTTCTCTGTGTCTGGCAACCTGAAAGGACATGAGCGAGATGGATTTGTCTGCTGGTTATGTGTGATTTGTATTGATGGCTTAGTCCATTGTAGTATTATGTTCAATATTAAAGTAGTACTAACTGTAGTACTGTAGTCGCAGTCATTCTTGAGAAGTGGGACAAAACAGGGTGCAAAATTGAAAAAATAAAACCTTGTACTCAGACAAATGAAACTACATTTATGTATCTGATATGTACTAAGCTACTGAGCTATGCTTTGATACAACCTCCCAACTTTTCTCTTTTTTAACAAAATGTGCTTTTTTACCTTGGATTGTGTAATATAATTTCAGCTTTACCTTTAACAGCATTCAAGATGTTTTTAACATTTCAAAACACATTCTCGTGTTAGCAGACAGATTACACTTTCACATGTGACCAACAATTCCACAACAAATATCAAATATCATAATGAAATATTATCAAAATATTCAACTGACGGAGGTGACAGAACTGACGGAGTTGACAAATCTGACGGTGGTGACGAAAACCTGAATTTGTACTCAAGGACCAGGGTTGGGAACCACTGATTTAAATGATCATGACCCAGTACAGCAGTAACAAGTGAATGACAGAACTAAGATTTGGTACATTAAATCTCTGATACCACAGACTGATACCTGATCTGTTGTTTTCTGCTGTTAAATCAGGATTCACATTCAGTTTTCACATCTATCCACCTTAAAGTGATTGTTACTATTATTATTGTATGTTTATCCAAAGATGACAAATTGAGTCTATAAAAGTCTAATTCATTCAGTTAGGTACTTTATTGTCATGACAAATATTTGTACATTTGTATTGTCAAAGTAATTGCTGGGTTCCTGCATACAATTACAATGAGAATAGTACAAAACAACAGAAAAACAAAACAATTTATCTGACAATATAAGTGACACAATAGTCTTGACAGAAACAGAGGCGTAACGTTTAAATGAGCTGCTGAAAAGCCAATAGTTCCCAGTTTTTTCCTCATTCATTCTGATGATGTCTGAGATCTTCTGTAAATTGGCACATTAACACATTTCATTGTGTGTCAACAGACTGAGACAAACTACAGGATCATCACTTTGTGATAATCACCTATTGATGTGTGTTGTTAATCTTTACCCCTCAGGTTAAACATGATATAAAGTACTGTTAAAGACTACAGAAACCATACCTGCACTCATGATGTTTTTGACATTGAAATAGCATAAATGAACTTTTTCATTCAGACTGCATGCATGTCTGCCATTTTTGTTCAAACCAGTTATTTATGAGATCATTGAAATGCAAGGTTTATCATTTTATCAAATGTTTTAGTTTTGTCAAATGTGTTTTTGCTTTCCTGGTTAAGCACAAGCCCTGCACCACCGCTGTATTCATTGGTCAACTTAATCATTCAGTCAGCTGCCAACAAAATTTTTGACTTAATGCATTTAGTTCACAGCTCTTTCTGGTGAAAGAAATACATACATATAGAAGATAGCTAAAATATTAAATGCCATGGATTAATATTTAGTGAGTAATCCAATATTTAGTAAACAAGCTAAATTACAGGGTGAAAAAATGAATTTAGAAAGATTGCAGCATCATTTAATTTTTTACACAGAGATTGGTAAGTCAATTAGCAAAATCAGTTGAGTTTTTAGCAATGCTTGTTGTTGTAGTGGTGGGCGGTATGACCAAAAATGTATATCCTGGTATTTTTCAAAATTATACCGGTTTCACGGTATATGACGGCATTTATTTTTTTCATGCATGACCGGGTGTTAACCACATTTTCTACTGATTGAGAGGAAATACTGCAGTATATTGACTTAGAATGCCCTATTTTACTGTCATGATGAGTGAATATTGTCAAAAAATACCTCCTACTGTTTACTGAGACCACCCAGACAGACCAGCTCCACTCGGCGCTGACTGTGAGAATTGTTTGTTCATGTTATTCAAAAAGTAAGATAAGCGTCATAAGATATTGCGTACATTATCTTCAGAAAGCATTGTTCAAATGATGAATAATCCTTAAAGTAATTAAATTAACTATATTTGCCTACTTGTAATGCCACATGGCCCATGTCAAGTAAAAAAAACCTAGATTTTATTAGAATGAGAACTTACATATTGCATACATCCCTAAATTGTTTTTAGCTATTACTTTTCATTATTAGATGCATATATTAGTGCAATGGTTCATATTGAAAGAAGGAATACATTAAATGCATAAGGTATATTGACAATAAAAAAAAATAAATAAGGGGGAAAAAAAATGAAAATAGTAAAATGGTTAAATTCACTTTCATTTGATTGTAGTCACTAGACCAGCCATGGGAGTCATAATGAGATAATCTAAAATTACATTTGAATGGCATCATAGTTTATCAACAAAACTAATTGACTCCAATTCCAGTTGTGCAGTTCTGTGTAAGCATGTTGAGCTCCAACCCATCCCACAGAGCTCTATAATATAGCCAATAACCCCCCTTATCCCCATGCAGACTAAATAAAAGCACACAGCCACTCAAAAACATGGGATCACATTCAAATCAGCTGGTGTTTTTATAAACCAAGATGAAAAAGACTGAAAGAAATGTGTATATATTAATGTATCAATTAACAAGCAAACTCTTTTGACATCTGCAGATGAAAGAGAGTAAGACGTTTTATGTGTCTAATTACATCTATAATCTGCTAAGAGGCTTCAGATTTACTGTCCAATAGAGCTCTAAAATCTGGCATCAATTCAAGAGTTGCCAGCTGCCACCATAGACAGATTAAACAAACCCTCAGCCACTTCAGCCACCACACTCAACAATACCAGATCTCAGGATGTTGATCCACGGTAGAAGATCTGTCATAGTGCTACTAGGAATCTCACACATGACATAGTTTAAATTTGAAATACAGAATTAATAATGGATAGAATGAGCGTCTTTGACAGAAACGTTTATATTTAATAGAGATTTTCAAGCTACAGCATGTGCTACAGAATTTATTCTGTTATACTATAGGGTCATTCCATGTCAAATCAACCAAATTAAAAAAATTACCCCGGCTCAAATGTTAGAATTTGCTGATATTTTTTATGAAGACAGACAGACATGTATAGTGATGAAAGCTAAAATATTAAATGCCATGGATTAATATTTAGTGAGTAATCCAATATTTAGTAAACAAGCTAAATTACAGGGTGAAAAAATGAATTTAGAAAGATTGCAGCATCATTTAATTTTTTACACAGAGATTGGTAAGTCAATTAGCAAAATCAGTTGAGTTTTTAGCAATGCTTGTTGTTGTAGTGGTGGGCGGTATGACCAAAAATGTATATCCTGGTATTTTTCAAAATTATACCGGTTTCACGGTATATGACGGCATTTATTTTTTTCATGCATGACCGGGTGTTAACCACATTTTCTACTGATTGAGAGAGGAAATAGTGCAGTAGATTGACTTATGTTACTGTCATGATGAGTGAATATTGTAGAAAAATTCCACACTAAATAGTGACTAAACGCCCCATTAATACATGTTAACCAGGAGTCACTCTCATTTATAATCGCGGCATCGTCTGATAAAATCAACATGCATCTACACTAAAGAGCGGCTATGCGGTGGTTTTGGCTATATTACTTTTTTGTCTCACGCAGCGCACTGCCTGCATCTGAGTAGCCTATCAGGGGCGCCTGCAGGATTTCTTCCGAGGGTACGCACCGTGGGGGGCGGCAAATGATCAGTGAGAGCAGAACGACTGTGTCACACGTTTTAAACTCAACAAATAAAATGGTAAAATACATATATCAAGTGCATGCTCTCACAGATGAAAACGGAGAACAAAACAGCGTTGGAGTGGATTAGAGCCCTGCACGGGCCTCAAATATAGGCCCTAGCCAGTCTTTTTCCCCTTTTCCCAAAAAAGCTTATACAACTGTTTCAGCTATTAAAATAGTTCAGTTTTGTATGTAGTGGAAAAGTGATTATATTTCGTTTAGTTTTTTATAAAGTTAATTTAGAAAAACATTTAGAGCATTTTTTGTTCGTTAAATGTAAGTTGTTGTTTTTTAAGTAACAACCAAGTGGCCAGCGGCACACAGTGAATTGATCATAGCCTATATGTTTGATCAATTTAGCATTCTCAAATCATCACGACTTGCCTAAAATAAAGTCTATATATAAAACAGTTCAAGCATATCACAATGTTAGTTTAAATGTGTAACCTAGATAAATGTGCGTTGTTAGACGCATGTCCAATCGTTTGTGCGGAGAGTGGAAGCTGAAGCGCGCTCTGCAGCACATGGAGGCGCCAGCGTGATCACTTACATTTTTTCTAACAGTGGAAACAACTTTAAATACGCAGTCACTTTTGATAACATTACCTCATAAAAGTAAGAGTAATACATCATTCTAAACTGTAAAGGGTCTAGTTTTATTTGTGTGCACTCACA